AGAGGGTCAGGATCCAGAGAGTCCCCCAGGTGCTAGTGTTCGCCACGGCCGCCACGGCCCTCAAAGTAGGTGGCGGTGGCGGACGCAGGGCGGGGGGGCATCCCCCATCCCCGATCCCCGCGGGGTTCAAGCCTCAGGCTCCGCTCCTGCAGACGGGTGGGGGTGGAGTTGGGGTGTGTAGCCCCGCCCCTAAGAATCAGCCGTCTCAGGCTCCGCCCACAACACGAGGAGTCTGGTGTCCAGGCCCCGCCCCTGGGTCCTGTCTATCTCTCCAGGCTCTACCCCTATCATCCAGTGCCAGGTATCCAAGCCTCTCCCCTGGGCTCTGTCCACCATTCCAGCTCCGACTGCCCGTCAAGCCCCACTCTGCTGCCTGACACATAGAGGTCCACACCATCCTTATCCGATAGTTCTTCCTGACTCCCAACCCCAGCTGAGGGTCCCTGGCCTGACCAGGAGGTGGTGGTCAGAGAATCCCGCAGCTCACCCTGCGAGCCTCCGGGAGAGCCAAGGGACCCAGCCTGACTCCCGCCACCCTTCCTCCTGCCCAGGTGCAGCAGCTCCAGCAGGTGCCCGTGCCACATGTGTACTCCAGCCAAGTGCAGTATGTGGAGGGTGGCGATGCCAGCTACACTGCCAGTGCCATGTAAGTGGGGAGGGTGGGGCCTCTCCCCACCCCCACCTTAAAGCTTCAGGCGTTACCCACGGGGCAACCAGAAGCCCCAAGGAATGGCAGAGAGGACGCTTAGGGCCGGGATAGGCACCCAGTATAACTTTGCAATCACATGGGCCTAGGGTTTTTTTGGGGGGGATATAGACAGATATTTAAATTTTTACAAGATAAAATTAGATTTCTACACAATGGGAAATGTTAAACAGTGGAAAAGCATCTCTTTCATTCTTGACCTCCAACCCCGCCCTTGAGGGGACAGTGTAACCCGTTTCCTCCCAGCAACGATCTGAAAATAGAAACTATCCCCTTTCTTTGTTCAGAAATAGAGGCTGTGTACTCCGTCCTGTATTTCTCCTCCCAGCCATGGACCTGGCACATTTCCCGCTAGTCCCCATGACCCCCGTCACTCTGTTTCTCTAACCACTGTGATGACACTGTCCGGCCCAATGTGGGACGCACAGGTGGTCCCCGCCCTGGTCCTGCACACTAATCTCCCAGGGTGTGGTAATGCCAAGGCTCATGCCACGGTCTCTTTCCGTCTTCCCAGCAATGGTTCCAGCATGGTGGTTGCTACTGTTTTAGTTTCTAGAATTTCCACTTTTTTTTTTTTTTTTTTTTTTTTTTTTTTTTTTTTTTTTTTTTTTTTTTTTTTTTTTTTTTTTTTTTTTTTTTTTTTTTTTTGGTATGGAGGATCAAACTCGGGTCCTCGAGCTTCTGAGTCAGGCAGCGGAACCACTGAGCTACATCCCCAGCCCAAGAATTTCCACTTTGTTGTACATCTAATTTTTTTCTTTTGTCCCTGCCACCTGTCCTTGTGGACACAGTGCTGGGGTTGGATTAGCTCAGAGAGTAGCTCTGTCTTTGGGTCATGATGCTCCGACTGACCCTGAGGAGTGTGGTCCTGGCATCTGAATTGTCACTGACTCATTTCCAAAGAGGGCTCACCCCACAGGGACGCAGCTGAATCAGAGCCTGGCTGGCTCCTTCTGTCTTCACTGGCTGTGCCCTCTGAGGCTGTCCTGTGGGAGGTTATCAGTTAGGTTTTCATTGCTGGCCAGTTCTTTATTCCCTGAGGTTCTTCAAGGCCATTGTTGCTCTCAGCTGTATTTTCTGTTCCTCCCTCGTAGAGGCCCCACCCTGGCTAAAACCACCACCCCTGGGCCTCCATTCTTGGCTTTGTTCAGGGTACATCCAGAGACACTCATTTGTTCATTTAGCAAATAATCCACTGAACAACCTTTCTATTTTTTTCTGTGGCACTGGGCAACATGTGCTACTTTTACATGCCAGGCAGGCACTCACTGCAGAGCCACACCCTGCTGGAGGCTCTGGTTTTGAGACAGGAGTTGTATGCTGGGCCCAGTGGAGGGGTGAGCTGGCTCTGGCACCGGCCATGGGAGATGAAGGTGTGTGCTCAGGTCACCCACTTGGGTTACGTACTCTTGGTGACACTGTATGGTAGATGGATGCCTTGGTGATCCCCAGCCAAATCTTGTCGTGAGCAGACCATGTGACTGTGCCTCCAGGTGTCCTACCAGTCTCCCTTCAAGAATGTCCCTCACCCTTACTTTCTCTTTCAGGGATCTGCTCCAGGGGTTTTTCCTGGACAATGCCCAACACACAATAGGCTTATTAGTCCAAGCATGCATGACCACCTCCCGGCCCAGTCCTCCGAGGATGGAGCCAGAGCCTTACACATGCTGGGCAAGCACTCTAGTACTGAGCTGCACATCCAGCCCTTTTAGTTTTTATTTTGTGACAGGGTCTCAGTAAATTTAAGGCTGTACTCAACTTGGCAATCCCCCTACCTAAGCCTCTGGAGTAGCTAGGATTGCAGGTATGCAGGGTGGCAGGATTTCGTTTGTTTTTCTTTTTGTTTTGTGGTGGTAGGGATCCAACCCAGGATTGTAAATCTCTTCTTGGTTGTTGCTTTTTTGGTTTTGTTTTGTTTTTGTGTGTGTGGTACCGGGGATCAGACTCAAGACCTTGCATTTTTGAGGCAGGTGGCAGCACCACTGAGCCAAATCCCTGGCCCAGTTGGTTTTCGACTGAGGGAAGTATAGCCAAGTTACCCAACCCTTCCATCTTGGTCTCCTGACAAGGGGAAGGGGAAAACTGACTCCTGTGCCATAGCACTGCATTGATCATTCCGTGAAAAGTTGCCCATGAAGCCCACCAGGCTCGATGCCACACACTTGTCGTCCTAGCACTTGGGAGGCTGAGGCAGGAAGATTACTACCGGTTTGAGGCCTGTTTAGGCTGCATAGTGAATTCAAGGCCTGAGCTACATCGTGAGACCCTATCTCAAAAAAGCAAAAAGGAAAAGAAAGAAAAGTTGCCTGTCAAGCACCTAGCAGGTACCAGATCTGTTGCAGGTAAACAGGAGCTGCCCTAAGGGCCGCTGTGTCACCAGGCAGGACTTCTGACAGTCTCACATCTGGGCCACTCTGTTCTTACTGCCCTGAATGTTGCCCCACTGCTGTTCTCTTCCCCAGCCGCTCCAGCACTTACCCATACCCTGAGACGCCACTGTATACACAGACAGCGGGCACCAGCTACTATGAGGCTGCAGGCACGACCGCCCAGGTTAGCACACCTGCCCCCTCGCAGACGGTGGCCAGCAGTGGTTCTGTACCCATGTATGCATCTGGCAGCCCAATCGTCGCCAGCTCCACCAGCAGTGCTGGTGGGGCCAGCAGTGGTGGTGGCGGCAGTGGTGGCAGCGGGGGAAGCACTGGCAGTAGCAGCGGCAGCGGGAATGGCAGCGGCGGAGCGGGCACCTATGTGATCCAAGGCGGCTACATGCTGGGCAGCACCAGCCAGTCTTATTCCCACACCACCCGTGCCTCGCCAGCCACCGTAAGTGCCCCGAGGGGCCCCAGAGCAAGGGGAGGGAGGTGGGTGACAGAGAGTGGGGACCAGCAGCTTGTTCCTGGCAGTGGTCACCGGCCACCACCGGCAGGAGCCCATGAAACCTGGCACTCAACACTCACAGGCAGAAGGGATGAAGCCCGAACTGTAAGGCCTTGTGTAGGTAGCCTAGCCCCTCTAGGCACAAGCTGGTTTTTATGAAGCTTTTGCAACAGTGCCTGAGATGTGCTGTTCATTCTGGTTGTAACTGACGGGAGAGGAGGGATGGTTAACAGAGAGAGAGCAGGCACCGACTGCCCTCCTGGACTGGAACAGCTGGGGAATCATCTGGGGGCCCTGAGTTCCAGCTCTTCCCAGGCCGTGGCCAAGCATGTGGCCCAGGAGTGGGTCAGGACACGAATTCTGGGTGCCACCAGACATAGTGATCGGTGTGGCTTCTGCCCTTTCTTTTGTTTTGTTTTTCCTCTTTTTTTTGGGGGGGGTCTAGTTTATAAAATACCAATGGTGACCCACCTAGCTTGTTTCATGCTATTGCAGGGTCCTCACCTGCTTCAGAAGCATGCTGACCAGCTAGGTGACAGGGCATTCTCCAGAAAGGAACACAGGTGCTCTCTGGGCTGCTCCAGGTAGCTTTGAGTGCTCGGGGTTGTCTGGGGTCACTCAGTGACTGGTTTTGCTTTGTTTTGTTAATATTTATATGGAAATAATTATAGATTCACAAGAAACTGCAGAAAAGGCACTGAGATGCCTGGAGACCCTTCATCTAGGTCCCTCGCCTGGTCCTTTTCCACACCTATAGTACCTCAGGCAGTCCAGGAGACTAATACTGCTCGTACACGCACATGACTTCTGTGTCCACTGTGTAGTGGCTCTTGGAAGACTATTGCCACCATCAGGATGGGGCACTGCTGGGTGGCAAGTGGTTGCCTGGCATGTGTGAGGCCTGGGCTCCTTCCTTCCTTCTCCTTCCTGCCGCCCCACTCAACCCCAGCAGTCATTACTCCCATCTCTGTGATGTCATCATTTCAAGAATGTTCTACAGCTGAGCATGGTATCGCGTGCCTGTAATCTCAGCCCTTGGGAAGCTGAGGCAGGAGCACTGCTGATGGTTGAAGGGCCACCCTGGGCTATATGATGAGTTCAAGGCCGGCTTGGAGTACACAGCAAAACCTTGTCTCAAAAAAACAACAAAAAAATAAGTTCTACGGATGAGTTCACATCCTTGATCATGGGAGATTTTTTTTTTCCACTCTGTATGAATTAACATACTTTTCTTTTTTGGTACCGCATATGGAACCCAGAGCCTTCACACTGAGCTACATCCGCAGCCCAGGCTGGGGTCAAACTTGCGATCCTCCTTCCTCAGCCTCCCAGAGTGCCAAGATGCCTGGCGTGCGCCACCATGTCTGCGTGTAAATCTGTATTTAAATGGCAGTGTGGTGGCCAGGGTAGCTCTAGAACATTGTGCAGGATATGGACAGGGCATGGGTGCTTTTCCCAGGGAGGAAGGATACAGCATGTACGCTGCGAGGCAGCCATCCCCATGGGAAGCAGCCGCAGTGTTGGTGGCGCTTTGCTTGCCCTTCCCCCACCCCCGCTTCTTCCCCCCAGGTCCAGTGGCTCCTGGACAACTACGAGACGGCTGAGGGTGTAAGCCTGCCGCGCAGCACCCTCTACTGCCACTACCTGCTGCACTGCCAGGAGCAGAAGCTGGAGCCCGTTAACGCTGCCTCCTTCGGCAAGCTCATCCGCTCCGTCTTCATGGGTCTGCGCACGCGCCGCCTCGGCACCAGGTGCGCCCCCGACCCTTGTCCGCTAGGCCCAACCCCCAACCCCAGACCCTTGTCCGCTAGGCCCAACCCCCAACCCCAGACCGCCCGGGCTTTAGCTCTGATGCGCCCCATGCTCTTACCCTAGGGGCTTTGTGTAGAACGTACCTTCTGCCTGTGCTCTTTCCCGGCTCCTCCATTCCTGCCACCCGCCTTCCTTCTCTGGTTAGTTTTTTTCCTTAGCATCTCGCACCCTCCAGCTCTCCTTTCATGTTGCTTATTCCTCTTCTGCTCTGTCTGGAACGGACTACCCTGATGCTCAGGGCTGCACAGTTGGTGCTCAGTCAGGACCTGTGGGTCAGTGACTTCTACCTTCTTCTCGCTCTACGTGAATCCCAGCCTCTCCCTGCTTTCCACTCCCAGTTCTGGTTCCCGGTGGTGTCACCACTTTATTCATTCAGAATTTGTTCATTCATTCATGCATCACCTTGGGTGAGGTGCTGGATCTCCATGGGCCTTGGATTCCTCCCTGGGATAATACCAGGAGCACCTTCCCCGGGGAGTGCTAGGCAGGATGTTTTCCTGTGCAAATATTAGCCAGGCGCCTGCTCCTCCCTAGAATTTGGGGTATGCAGTAAAGCAGCCTCTGGATTCTCCTTCGGCTTTCTGCCAGGCAAGGGTTGTGGAGTGAGGGCTCAGGACCCTGCCTGGCCCTCACCCCCACTTTCCCACAGGGGCAACTCCAAGTACCACTACTATGGCCTGCGAATCAAGGCCAGCTCACCCCTGCTGCGGCTCATGGAGGACCAACAGCACATGGCCATGCGCGGCCAGCCCTTCTCCCAGAAGCAGAGGTAGGGCAGTGGGGAGTGGGGTGCCCTGGGCCGCGCCCCCCCACCAGTCTGCTGCTAGCTGCCCCTGCCCCCGCAGGCTCAAGCCCATCCAGAAGATGGAGGGTATGACCAATGGTGTGGCCGTGGGGCAGCAGCAGCCTGCAGGGCTGTCAGACATCAGCGCACAGGTGCAGCAGTACCAGCAGTTCCTGGGTGAGCACCAGCCAGCGGGGCTGCACAGGGGTGGCTCGCCGGAGAGGTGGGAAGTGTCCAAGGGGGCCAGGACAACACTGTGAGCATAGGGATGTTTCCACCCCGCCTCCTGAGGGTGGCTTCCTCCTGGAGCTCACCTGCTCTGTGGCCTCTAGGTACCTGGGGCACTGAGGGAGGGGTGGGATGTGACCCTTGGAGTAGAGCCGAAGGTGTGAGCTGACTCCCCAGGGCCCATAGGGTCTGCACAGTGTCCCTGAGATCCCTGGGCCTTGGAGGCTAAGAACTCTGTGCCCGCTGTCCTACCATGGCTGGTCCGGGGCCACCATGTAGCAAGTGAGCCAGGGTGTTGTTCTGTATGCTAGGTGGGTCATGGGACCTCCCAGGGCCTCATTCCGCCCTCTGCACTTGGGGGCCCTCTGCTGGGTGAGACCCCATGGAGACTAGGGGTGGCAGGCAGGTGGAGGATGAAGATCTCATGGTATCCCCCGCCCCCAGATGCATCCCGTAGCCTCCCTGACTTCACGGAGCTCGACCTCCAGGGCAAAGTGCTTCCCGAGGGTATTGGACCAGGGGACGTCAAGGCTTTCCAGGTCCTGTACCGGGAACACTGTGAGGTAGGATGGGCAGGCAGGCCAGGGAGTGGGCAGGCAGGGCTCAGCCATGCTAGGGGAAGCCCAGGCAGCTGCCCCTTGGTCCTCAGTGCCTGGCCTCCTCTCCAGGCCATCGTGGATGTCATGGTGAACCTGCAGTTCACACTGGTGGAGACGCTGTGGAAGACCTTCTGGAGGTACAACCTCAGCCAGCCCAGCGAGGCACCGCCGCTGGCCGTGTGAGTCCACGGGGTGCCTGCACTGCCCTGGCCATCCATGGGACACATGCCCTCAACCCCTGAGTGTGCATGTGTATCCACTGATGCTGAGAGCGCTGTGCCCATCCTGAAGGGCAGTGCAGGGTCCCTGGCCAACCTCTGGACCTTGGACCTATGGGAGGTGGGAGCAGCACCCTGACTCCCCTGGGTGCAGGACCATGTGTGACCCTGGGGTTTGGGGCACACCCCCAGGCACGACGAGGCTGAGAAGCGGCTGCCCAAGGCCAGCCTGGTGCTCCTCTCCAAGTTCGAGCCCGTGCTCCAGTGGACCAAGCACTGTGACAACGTGTTATACCAGGGCCTGGTGGAGATCCTCATCCCCGACGTGCTGCGGCCCATCCCCAGTGAGTGCTTGGCCACCCCTCTGCCCCCATGTACCACCGTCCACTCTGACCGCCCTCCACTACCCACAGGTGCCTTGACCCAAGCGATCCGGAACTTCGCCAAGAGTCTGGAGAGCTGGCTCACCCATGCCATGGTGAACATCCCTGAGGAGATGCTGCGGGTGAAGGTGAGGCCAGAGGGTGACATCCTGTGCCTGTGCCTGTGCCTGTGCCGGGAGTGTGAGGGCAGAGCTGCAGAGAGGGCTCTGATGCTGTCTGGCAAAGCGGCTTCCTTGCTGTCCATTTCTGAAATGCAGCCCTGTGCCATCCTGCATTGTCTTTATAGGTACTCCGCAATAGATAAAACTTTTGTTAACAAGATGACATCTACGAGAAAACAGTAACAGCCCTGCCCTTCCGGTCTGCTGCTCTCTACCTAGATGTGAGGGCTTCATTGGGTTTTTCTGTTTTGTTGTTTTTTGCAGTACTGGAACCCAGGGCCTTGTGCATGCTAGGCACGTGCTGTACCACTGGGTTGTACCCTCAAATCCCCAGTCCAGAATGGATGTCTTAAGAGTCACCCCTGGGTAGGCAGGACCCAGGGCAGACAGGTGAAGGAAAGAAGTTGGTAGAGAAGGGCTAAGAAGACTCATGGATTCATTGGTTCATTCAGTATGTGTTTATTGAGCACCTAATGGATCCCCAGCAGAGTTTTCACTGCTGAAAGCACAATAATGAATAAGAAGAACAAAATCCCTACCCTCATGCAGCTGACACTCAAGGGGGTAGTAACCATGTAGAAGAAGCCATGTAAAAGTTCATCAAAGAAATGCCCTCCATTAGAGCTGGGGATTCAGATCAGTGGTTCTACCGCCTGCCTCAAAAGCACAAGGTCCTGAGTTTAATCCCCGGTACCAATAAATAAACAAAAGTGCCCTCCCTATGTTCTGTTCTTTTGTTAAAAGTAATAATAGTGCCAGGCAGGTATAGTGGCACACACCTGGTATCCCAGCACTCTGGGAGGCTGAGGCAGGAAGATCCAAGTTCCAGTCCAACCTGGAACAACTTAGCTACTAGGGAGACCCTGTCCTAAAAACTAATAATGTAAAATGAAGCCTGAGGATGTAGCTCAGTCCAGAGGCCCTGGGTTCAGTCCCAAGGATAATCAAGTTGTGGGCTTGGTGTGGCTTAGTGGTAGAGCCCCTGCCTAGTATGCTTGTGGCTGAGTTTTGGTCCCCAACAGCACAAAAACAGCAATAGTGCTGGCCAGAGAACAGTAAATGTAGTTTTTGATGCACTTGTTAAGTGGATGCCCAACATTTGACAGACCTAACCTCTTGGCCTCCGGAGCAAAGCAGCAAGGTACAACCTTCCTGTTTGTTTGTTTTTGTCTTTGTTTTTGTACCGGGATCAAATTCAGGACCTCGTGCTTGAGAGGCAGGCAGGGGCACCACTGAGCAAATCCCCAGCCTGCAACCTTCTTGTTTTAAGAAAACAGACTCTGAGGCTTGGGGAGGTTGCAGTGGCGAGACCAGGCCTGAGCGGGTAGTTCCACCCCGCAGCCTCCCGCCCTATCTGGTCTGGCTCAGGTGGCGGCGGCGGGTGCCTTCGCGCAGACCCTGCGGCGCTACACATCACTCAACCACCTGGCGCAGGCAGCACGCGCCGTGCTGCAGAACACGGCGCAGATCAACCAGATGCTCAGCGACCTCAACCGCGTGGACTTTGCCAATGTGCAGGTGAGCGGGGCGGCCCCGGGCCGGCAGGACGCGGCGCCAGGTGGGACCGAGCCAGACCCTGAGCCAGGACCCTGCCCACCGTCCCCAGGAGCAGGCCTCGTGGGTGTGCCGCTGCGAGGACCGCGTGGTGCAGCGCCTGGAGCAGGACTTCAAGGTGACGCTGCAGCAGCAGAACTCGCTAGAACAGTGGGCGGCGTGGCTGGACGGCGTCGTCAGCCAGGTGCTCAAGCCCTACCAGGGCAGCTCTGGCTTCCCCAAGGCCGCCAAGCTCTTCCTCCTCAAGTGGTCCTTCTACAGGTTCGTGCCAGCACGGTGCCAGGGGCATGGTGCTAGGGGCGGGACCAGGCTGGTGGTGGAGCCATAAAGGGCACCTCCTCCCGTGAGTGGGCAGGGCCGGCGAAGGCCACGCCCCCATAGGAGGGCGGGACCCATTGCTGGAAGCAGGGCTTCCCCCAAGAGTGGGTGGGGGCAGAGAAGGCCTTGCCTCTGCACAAGAGGAGGTGGGGCATGGACAGACAGCGCCTCCTCCTCCAGGTAGGTAAAGGTGCTCTGGAAGACGCCCCCCCGGGAAGATTGGCCTTCTGCGTTCCCGGACATTCGCCCCAAGGAAACCAGTGGTGCTTCCCGCTGGCAGCAACTAACTGGTTCTCGGTCCGGGCACTTGCAGCTCCATGGTGATACGGGACCTGACCCTGCGCAGCGCTGCCAGCTTCGGCTCCTTCCACCTCATCCGGCTGCTGTACGACGAGTACATGTACTACCTGATCGAGCACCGCGTGGCACAGGCCAAAGGAGAGACCCCGATTGCTGTCATGGGCGAGGTACGCGGGGGCGCGGGCGCGCAGGGGGGCGCGGCACTGGCGGCTGTGGGACCTCACCGGCGCTCTCCTCCCTGCAGTTTGCCAACCTGGCCACCTCGCTGAATCCCTTAGATGCGGACAAAGGTAGGCAAGGCACGTCCTCAGCAGGGCCGGGCCAGGGCGGCGGCAGGGCTGGGGTGTGGGCGCCAGCCCTGTGCTGAGTGGCATGGTCCGTGTGCCCCAGACGAGGAGGAGGAGGAGGAGGAGGAGAGCGAGGATGAGCTGCCGCAGGA